AGATTGACTCATTATCTTTCTCATAAGGTTCAAGAGTAGTGACTAATTTGACTTGATCCATGTGTTGGCTTCCAAAACTACTTGCATTTGCATTGTATTGCCCCTTGGGATTTTGTTGTGGTGAAGATGAAAACTTAGCTTTCTCTTGAAAACTAAGACCCGATGTCAATTTTGCAAGAGTATTTTTAAAATCTATCATGTTTTGAGCAAGTTGAGTATTGATTGTCTCTTGCTTTTCAATGGATACATTCAATGTTTCCTCAAGATTTCTTATAGGAGGTATAGCATAAGGAGGTGCATATCCATGAGAATTTTAAAAATTATGGTGTGCTTGAAATGATAGTTGTAAAGTTTGTACATTGTTATTATCATTTTTCCAACTGAAATTTAGGTGATTTCTCCAACTAGGGTTGTATGTTTGCGAGTATAGGTTGTGGTTGGACAGTTATTGGTTGAGTGTTCATCTATTTCATATATTTGACACAAAATATTTTCAACATATCTTAATTTACTACTCTTTTTCAATTATAGTGCCTCGACTTTTCTAGCTAAAGATGCAAACTTGGCTTGGAGGTCATGATCTTCTCTAAGGTTGTATATACCTCCACTAGATGTATGATGTTGAATTTTACTCAGTGCCTCATAAGTACCAACGGTGTCCTAATTTTGAGCATTTTCAACTAACAACTCTAAGTACTCCTTTGCTTCATCAGGTTCTTTTTTTTCAAAAGTTTCATTGCACATCAACTTAACCATTTGCCTATCTCTAGGTGTTAACCCTTCATAAAAATGTGAAACCAATCTCCATGTTTCAAAACCATGATGAAGGAAAGTATTAAGCAAGTCTTGATACCTATCCCAATATTGGTAAAATGTTTCTCCTAGTTTTTAAGTTAAAGTGGTGATTTGTCTTTTGAATAAGTTTATTTTGTGAGATGGAAAAAACTTCTTTAAAAACTGCTATTGCATTTCATCCCAAGCATGAATGGATCTTGGTCTTAAATTTTATAACCATGTTTTAGCTTTATCTTTTAATGAAAAAAGAAAAAGCTTTAATTTGATGGTGTTCATGTTACAATTTGAGTCATTGTAGTTGTTACAGACCTCCTCAAATTCCCTTAAATACAAGTATTGATTTTCTAAATCTAAGCCATGAAAAAAAGGTAAAAGTTGAATAATGTCTGACTTAAAATTAAAATGAGATGCATCAAGAGGAAAAACTATGTATGATGGTGGTGCACTTGTTCTTATGGGGTTCTTGTGGGATTCATGTGGTATCTAAGTGTTTTAACACAATTATTTTTATTATTCTCATTATAAAGTGATTGATTATCTTCTTCGGCCATATTTTTTGAAAATGATGAGGATGCCCTACAAAGTCTACCACTTAATATACGTGACCACACTCTCATGCGCGTATAGGAATAGAATAAAAAGAAGAAGAAACAAGAGAAAAGAAACAAAGTTATATACAAAAAAAGTAAAAACAGAAAAGAGAAAATAAAATAAATACTATAATTTGTACAAGAACTTACCTCCCCGGCAACAGCGCCAAAAACTTGACATGATCAAAAGATTGATGTCTTCTCCCAAGTGTAGGAGTGTCGAAGTAATAAATAACCCGGCAAGACCGGGGTCGAACCACAGGGAGGTTAATTGTATAAATTATAAACAACAATTATAAACAACAATAATAGTAACAACAGCAACAACAATAATAATACTAGTAGTAGTAGTAGTAGCAGCAGCAGCAACAACAATAGTAGTACTAATAATAATAATAAAGAATAAGAAGAAAAAGAAGAAGAAGTTGATGAGAACTTTAAGATAGAAGATCAATATAAGGGTTAAATAATGATAACAATAAATATCAAGGTTAGAGGATCCACTAATGATATGTCAAACAAGTATAGTATAAACTCTTATTATTCAATTGGAAACCACACACAAAGAAGGTTCCAATCAGATTATAAATTGATAACATGATTACATTAGTTATCTTATTCGATTAATACTAATACTTGTAAATATTGTCAAGCATTCATTATTATAACTTATGTTAACAACAAATCAAGTTCCTTTCATAGCTCAGGTGTTAGTTATACCATACAGTATGGGCTATGAGAGTGTCAAGAATTTGTTGTATCAAGTGTTATACAACATAAATCTAGATTAGTCATTTAACAAACAAAGTATTAAAGAGTGAACAAGATAACAAATACAAAACATGTTAGTATCAAACATTAAAGTCCATATTAAGTTTACACTATACTTATTCTTACACTATTAGTAAAACCTTTTCACCTTGACATAATAAACTTAGCTAAACATAATGAAAAAAAAGAAAAATGAATAAACAAAATAAGAACATAAATAAGATAAAAGTCAACTAAGTTAAGGAAAGAAATTGAAAAGCATAAACTTCGTATTAATGAAACCAAAGCTTAGGCATTACAAAAATACAAAAAGAGAAAGCAAGAGCATGATTTTGATTTGGAAACCAAGATGTCTAAATGCATAGCAAATGCCTCTTTTTACGAGTCAAAATTAGGAACTATTAATTTGATGACTAATTGATAAGTGGGTGGCCAACTTTTGACTTGGTGACAATCTTTATTTTCTTTGTCTTCCCAAAACATCATTGATAACGTCAGAATTGGAATCACTTGAAAATATAAAAGTTGTAGAAAATTATCTCATCTTTCCAGGAAAAAAATAGAGGTCAATTTAACTTCTAGAACTTCAGATATGGGCCAAACACTGAACAGTGCTCGAGCTGTAGGACATATTCAGACTTTTTTGTTCTTGCTATAATTTGAACTTGAAAATGGCATTTTTAAATCTTGGGCTTCATATGAAAGTTGTAGGCCTATGTCTTACCTTTCCATCCATGTAAAGTATGCCTAAAGCTGAGATCTACAGCTTCAGATATGATATAATTATCAAACAGTGTTCCAGTTTGGATTGCACCGACATCTATTTTCTAAGTTTGGCCATCTCTTTATCCTTGCAATTTAAGTTCTTCAAGTCATCAATCAATCCTTTCATTTATGTGATAGGCCTGCATTAAAAATAGACATTTACCACAAATTATAGGTGATAGGCCTGCATTTAAAATGAATATTTACCATAAATTAAAGGTATCTTATATTATTAGATACGTTATTATAAAACATGCTTTAGTTAAGGAGTTATTGATACTTCAAGTGCAAAATGATGATATAAAATCTTGATTAAAATTCACTTTTAAGTACTAATCATTGCTCTATCTCTAATTCAATTATGAGTTTGAAGAAAATCATGTAGTTGTGGTATTTTACCATGTGACATCGATATAAAGGAATTGATTTCATGTTCATGGTCAAATCCAAGGTTCATTGCTTCTTCATCCTCAATAAGCATATTATGCAAGCTTTCATAATATTTACAAGTGTTTCTTCATCTCAATATCGAACAGGTCCACGTATAATTGCAAAAAAAGATTGGAGCACCTCAAATGCCTGCTCCACATCCTTTCTTGCAAACTCTTGCATACTTGTAAAATATTTTATCTTTGCTCCTAATGGTGTTGGGATTATCTTAACAAAGGTTGACCAATTAGGACAAATTTAATCTACTAAATAGTATCACATTGTGTATTCATACTCATTAATTGTATAATTGATAGGAGCAGTACGACCTTCAGCAAATGCACCAAAAATAGATGACTAATCAAGAGCATTAATATCATTTAATAATCCAAGCATTCCAAAAAAAGCATGTTATATCCAAAGATCTTGTGAAGCCAACGCCTCTAGAATTATAGTTAGTTCACGACAATGACTAATATACATCCCATGTCATGCAATTAGGTATTTCTTTCATTTCCATTTAGGATTTTTAGCAAAATAATCATTATATAACCTTAACTCACCTTCCTTTCTATTACGATTGACAATATTGTGATAAAAATTAGAGCCACAATACCCTGTTCTTCGCTCTTAATTATTTGATTGTTTTTCAACAACTACAGTGGTAGCAACTTAAAAAGCGAATACAGTAGTGGCATCATCAAAACCAAAAGCATCATAAAAATTACAATTAGAATGATTCATGATAAATTTTAATGAAATATAACAAAGATTGGAGAGAAGAAAATAACGAGAAAAAATATTAAAATATATGAGAATATTTATAGATGGATTATTTTTTAAAATTTTAAAATCTTAGAATGTTGGCAGTAATTTTTTAAAAAATTTAAAATGTTGGTGATTATTTTTTAAAAATTTAAAATGTTAGTGGTCATTTTTTCAAAGCTTGAATTTAGAAAAAAATTAAAATAAAAATTTAAAATGTTGGCTGTTTTTTACAAAGTTTGAATTTGAATTTACTTTTAAAAAATTAAATTTTTAATAATAACATATAAAACTAAAAATTAAAAATATTCTTATAAATAAATTCTAAATTATATCTTTTAACTTTCATATTACTTCATTAATTTTATATTATTTTTAGAAATCACTCATATTAATTGTATAATTAATAACATCATAATTATATTATATCTAAAATATCTAAATTAGTTATATAATTATATTAAAATTAATTTAACATTAAAGATATTAAAATATAATTGATTTTTCTAAATAACTTTTTATTATTGGAATGCATACGATAAAAAACGTTGTATTTATATTATTTAAAAAGTTATTTTATTAATTTAGCTCTTAAATATAGTATTTTTCATTAGAAATGTTTTTAGCCTAATACAAGTTCAGTTGGATTTGGTTGAAGGGTAGAGATCATCTTGGGGGGTTTCAGTGATTGTGATTTGCTCAAGAAGGGTGAGCCTGGGATGTTTCCAAGTCTCTATATATAGTGCTTAAAAGGAAAAGGAAAAAAACAGTGAAAGGAACAAACTAGAATAAAGAAAAAGAAGAGAGAGAATACAGGAGTGAATGGAAGTTGAGAATATATAGCTTTGGAAGATGGCTCACAATAGTTGAGAATAACTTTCCTAAAGTTACCTGTTTTTCCAAGTCTTCAGTCTCACAAAAGGGATGGATTCAGTGGTCTTTTTAGGCTGGAAAAGACATAAAACAACAGTGACAATTACAGGTATGATTTGTAGAATCTCTTCTTTATCATGATATATTTATTGTTTTAATATGGTTGCTAAAAGCTTTGTACCATGCTGCAATCTGGAAATATCACTCTCTCTCTTCTTATACATGAAAATAATAAGTTTTTCTAGTTTCTAACTTTGAGGTTGAGGTGATAATCTGGCCAAGCTTTCTTCTTAAGAATCAGGCCTTGAGTCCTTGTAGGAATGACGCCATTCTCTTTTTCAGCGTTATATCTGCTAGGCTCTTAAACCTACAGGATATACCAGTGTCATGAAAAGGGTTGGTGATGACTATTACATAATAATCTCGTTTCCAACTTGGATATTTATGAAATTCCAGTTCCAATAATATATCTTACATTAGCTTAGGCAAACATATATACTTCTTGTCCTCTGCCTAATGTGAGTGAGAGAAGTTCAGCAAGAAAAAATATATAACATGGATATGATCTCATGTTCTTTGCCCCCCAGCTTTGTTTTGAACCAGTTTGGCTATGTTTATCATGGAAGGGTTCTGGTATACAGTCTCAGTCCTTGAAGGATTTTGAGGGTATGTTCGGTCGTTAACACCAAAGATTCATCAAAGACAATGTAAAACATAACGGGTGCTGGGTTTGGGGTTTTCTGTTTCGAGGACTTCGTGTCCTTGTCTTGTTCTTTGTTTTCCTGTCCCCCTTGCTTGTTCACCAGCAGAAAATTGGAAAAAGCCTACAAAATATTTTATTACTCCATCGACAAAATCATTGATGGAAACATGTATCGGAGGATTTGTATTTTGTTGTCGATTCCATTGGGATTTTTATTTTTATTTTTGTCAGGATCGCTGATTAAATATTCTAGTTAAAAAATCAAATTTAACTATTTATTTTTAATTGATAACTCTATTAGTAATTTTAATGGCTGACGAAATATTCAATTGCGTATTCCATAAAAAATTCACTTTGATTGCCAATGAAATATTTTGCTGTCTATACCTTCCGAATGTGAGCAACCATTTCCAACGAAAACGAAAAAACAACATGTCATCGAATAATTCTATTAGAAATTCCAAAATAATCTATAATTTTTTCATAAAATATAACCAATTTTTTTTTTTCATGAAAACACTATGGAATTGAGTATTTCGTCGGGCAATTTAGTTAGAATGTCACACTTTTTTTTATTATTTGGTTATAATCCTAAAAGTTAAAATTATAATTCTATAAACTTCTAGCAACAACAACAATAACAAAAAACTTGTATGACAATAATTATATTAAAATAAATTCCATAAAAAAATAAAAAATAAAAAAATTTTAAACAAAATAAAAAGAAAAAAAATCTTAAACTAGAAGCACGAGGAAAAGGGAAATATAAAGTTAAATATGCATTTACTTCTTTCCATTTTCTATTATTTTTTTGTTTGACTTCTACTCTATTTTTTCTTTTAGTTGTACCCTCATTTCAGCCGGTTATTCTTAAACCTTATCTTAACCATCTACTTAATGATCGGTGATGTCTAGCTTGAGTCAGAATGTTATGTAACTACTAATGAAATATGACAACTTACTTTTATATCTCATGCCAATATCATAGGCAAATTATACTACTAATGAAATATGACAACTTACTTTTATATCTCATGCCAATATCATAGGCAAATTATAAATATGATTTCTATTGAATTCATCAGTTGTTCTAGCCTCCAATCATAATTAAAAATCATAATTAAAAATAATGAGAGAATGAGTAAAAATGTCTTTTTCATATTTGACAACCATGTCGAAATTATATGTCTTCAAAAAAAAATCAAAAACTAAAATTCATATTAATAATGCAAATAAATATTAGTTTTAATTAAAAAAAATCACAATACAATTTACAACGAATACAATTTACAACGAATGAGTTTGTTTTATTATTAATAAATGTTTTTAGTATTTTGCCCTTAACCTTCTTTTTTATATGAGTTTCCTCATATAACTTTATTGGAATTATTTGACACCTTAGCTATTTTTTCTGTAAAATAAATAGAATGTAAAAAGTCTCACAAACAATAAAATTAAAAAAAAATTAAATATACAACAACAAGCACTTATTAGGTGCCTTGTAAGGTTCACAAAATAAAGCACTCCCCCTGTAACATTCCCAATACAAAATTCATATTTAGCATAATATCAAGTTATGGTTTCTTGAAAACTAGGGTCATATATATATATATATATATATACGTTTCTTGAAAACTAGGGTTATATATATATATATATATGACATAAACAAAAAATATAAAAACATTATGGACTAGATTCATGCATTTTTAATTTAATAAACAAGAGTAAGATTTAAGGTAAATTTTAACCTTAAAAGAAGAAAATCATTAGTTAAGTTTAAGCATTTATATTAGTAGTTTCATTTACGTATAGAAAATTATTCTAAAAATTACATTACAAAAGAAAGTCAACATGTTAAAAATCACATTATAATCATCACCTAAACAAAAAAAAATACTAAATATGGTATATTGTTCTGCCCAAGTCTGGGATGAGCCTAAAAGTAATTTATTATACAATATGAGTACATAATTTAGCAATTGAACAAAATATACACACCTTTATTTTTATTTCATTAATACTTTATATATATCTTTCTACTAGTTAACTATTTGATTTCACTTAAATAATTCATTAATAACCCATCAAGTCAGTCGCACTAACATTACTAGCTTAACTCTAAACATCTAGTCAATTAAGTATTTTTGTAGTCAATTACATTGACGGCACTAGCTTTGCTTTGAAAAACTAATTAAAACATTTTGTGACAATTAGTTACCCTAATGTCACTAACTCCACTCATGAAAAATAGTTAAATTTATCCTTTCTTAATATTAATATTTTTTATAAATAAATGCATATCTTTCGTAGTATTAATATTTTTTATAAATAAATGCATATTATTAAGAATTTTCAATTATAAAAGACTTACAGAATCTTCTAAGCAAAGCAAATACAGGACACCTACATGGAGCTTGTGCATAAGTTAATGCTCCTTGTTATTGTCTTATCCCTTCAATCTTCCTTGTACCATTAAGAATACAATCATCATGAACAATCCAACTAATATTCTCAAATCTTAATAAGAGAAATTCTATAAAATCTTATACATATACATATTTTCCATGTTCATATTCATCCTCTTAAGTTTAATTATTAAAACTCTCAATTTAACATCAATTTCAGAAGGAGCTATAAGATATTATTTTGACCCCTTTCTCTTTGTAGGAAATATTATTCTAACGGTTGCTATTTTATTTATAGGTGTTATGAAGGTGTGTGAGACACATTTCATTCATGTTTCAAACTCACTCAAATTTTATATTCACAAAATTTAACCATAATCTTATTATTAAACAATATATTCAATACCAAGTAACAAGATTTTAATTTTCAATAACCCTGTCACTTCATAAGCTATATAAGACCTATGGAGAAACTAAAATCAATCAAAACAATACGAAACAACAATAACAATTCCACAATTTTGAAATTTTAAGGTTTAACCACAATCTCATTAACAATAATATCAAAAATTTAAGAAGACTTGATGACCCAGATGAGAAGAAAAAAAAGAAGAAGAAATCAAGCAACCCAAATGAGTAAAATTAAGGAATTAAATGAGGAAAAAAAACCATCAATTGAAAAGAATCTAAAACATCAAAAACCAAAGACAAAGTAAGAGAGATACTTGTTAAATGGTGAACAACTAAGAAAGATAGAGAGAGGTGGGGGCTGGGTTGAAATAGGGATTATGGATTTCAATTTGTTTAGAAGAAGAATGATTGATACTTAAAAGTGTATTTTTATCGAGGTTTTATATCATCATTTTGCCCTTGAAGAAGTATCAATAACTCCTTAGCTAAAGCATGTTTTATAATAATATATCTAATAATATAAGATACCTGTAATTTATGGTAAATGTTCATTTTAAATGCAGGCCTATCACATAAATAAAAGGATTGATTGATGAATTTAAGAACTGAAATTAAAAGGATAAAAAGATGGCCAAACTAAGAAAAGAGATGTTGGTGCAATCCAAACCGAAACACTGTTCGGTAATTGGGTCATATCTAGAGCTATAGATCTCAGATTTAGGTCTACTTTATATGGATGGAAAGGTAAGACATAGACCTACAATTTTCATATAAAACCCAAGAGCTAAAAAGGCCATTTTCAAGTCCAAATTATTGCAACAACAAAGAAGTCTGAATCTGTCTTCCAGCCCGAGCACTATTTAGTATTTGGCCCATATCTGGAGTTCTACAAATCCAAATGAGCTGAATTGTTTACACAAGAAAGCTGAGACAATTGCCTACAACTTTCATGTTT